GAATCCATAAAAATTCTAGAAGAAAAGTAGGCAAGAAAATTTCAGACATCATACGCAGCAGAATTTTTATTGATACAACACCTTAGGCAACAGAAACAGGAAAAAAATGAACAAATGAGACTACATCAAACTCAAAAGCTTCTGCAGAGAAAAAGAAACAAGCACCAGAATGGGAGAGCATAATTGCCAATGATACATCAGATAAGGGGTTAGTTTCCATGCAACTAGTACTCATACAACTCATCAAAAGGAAGACAAAGAAGCCAATTAAAAAATGGGCAGAGGACCTAAAGAGACACCTCTCCAAACAGGATATATAAATAGCCAAGAGACATATGAAAAGCTCAACATCACTAATCTTCAGAGAGATGCAAATTAAAACAACAATGAGGTATTATCTCACTCCTGTCAGAATGGCTGCCATCAACAAATCATCAACAACAGGTGCTGACGAGGGTGTGGAGAAATGAGGACTCTAGTACATTGCTGGTGTGTGTGCAGAATAGTTAAGCCCCTATGGAAAACACTATGGTGTTACCTCAAAAAATTAAAAATTGATCTGCCATTTGACCCAGTGATCCCACTTCTAGGAATATACTCTAAAAAGCCTGAAACACCAATCAGAAAGAATATATGTACCCCCATGTTCATAGAAGCACTATTTACAATCACTAAGATCTGGAAAAGCCCAAGTGTCCATCAATAGATGAGTGGATAAAAAAGCTGTGGTACGTAAACACAATGGAATACTATGCAGCTGTAAGAAAGAAAGATCTTTATCCTTTGAGATGACATGTGGGGACCTGGAGTGTATTATCCTAAGTGAAACAAGCCAAACAGAAAAAGTCAAATATCACATTATCTCACTTATTTGTGGAATATAATGAACAAAAGAAACTGATGAATAAAATAGACCCAGAGACGTAGAAGTAGGGTACAGGCTGACAAACCTCAGAAGAGAGGGTGTTGGGGGGATGGAAGAGATAAACCACAGAGTATATATGCATGTATGCATAACCAATGAACATAGATAACAAAGCTGGTGATGGGGCGGGGGGATGGGGATGAATGTGTCAATGGGGGGAAAAGGAGAAATACCTATAACAAAAATAAATGAATAGAAATAATTAAAAAAAAAAAAAAAAAGGCCTGAAGAAGATGGAGTTAGTCCGGCAGAACAGCAATTGCAAAAGCCCTGAGGTTTGTCATTTGATTGGTCCCAGTGTGTTCAAGAAGCAGCAAAGAGGGCAGTGTGGCCAGAGCAGAGGCAATCGAGGGCTAGATTGTAGAGCACCTTGCATGAGTCACTGAATGAAATGGAAAGCTACTGCAGGGGTGTGAGCTGGAAATGACATGATCTGACTTAGGTTTTAAAAGGATTACAACTGGCCCTGGCCGGTTTGGCTCAGCGGTTGGAGCATTGGCCTGCGATACAGAGAGACCCGGGTTCGGTTCCTGCTAAGGGCACGTACCTCGGTTGCAGTTTGTCCCCGGCCCTGGTTGGCCCTGCGGGTGGCAGCCACTCGATGTGTCCCTTTACATCGATGTTTCTCTCTCTCTCTCTCTCTTCCTCTCTCTCCCTCCCAATCTATCTGAACAAAAAAAAAATGGAAAAATGTCCTCGGGTGAGGATAAAAAAAAAAAAAAAAGGATTACAACTGGCTATTTTATCAGATATCCAGTTGTAATCTGATTACAGATTACATTAATTAAATTTTAAAAAAGAAAAAGAAAGAAAGATCTTTTATCCTTTGAGATGGCATGGAAGCGAAACAAGCCAAGCAGAGAAAGACAAATATCACATGATCTCACTTAATTGTGTAATATAATGAACTAAACAAACTGATGAAGAAAATTGATCCAGACACCGAGACTGACAAGCCTTAGAAGAGGGGGGGTTGCGGGGAGAGAGAAACCACAGAACTTATATGTATGTATGCATGACCAATGGACATGGACAACAAAGCTGGGGATGGGGGCGGGGAGGGTGTCAATAGGGGGAAAAGGAGAAACATCTGTAACATAAACAAATTAATAAATAGAAAAAATAAAAGGTTTACAACTGGCTACTGCATAAAAAATAAAATGTTTGGAAAAGGGGAGCAAGTACAGAAATGGGAAATCCAGTTAATAGGTTATTATAACAATCTAACTAGAGATGATGATAACTAAGACCAGACATGTAAGAATTGGTTAGATTAAAGGATTTGCTGATGGATTGTATATGCCTATGAGAAAAAGAGAGGATTCAGGAATGATTCACAGTTTTGGCCTAAGGAAATGGGAGGATAGAATTATATTCTGAGATGGGAAACTTTGGGTGCCAAATGCCTAAAACTGCTTGGTACATGTGGTAGGTGCTTTGAGTGGAAAGTAAGTTGTGCATGCAGTCTTTTGACCCCCCTCTCAGCCATGTAAGAATGGGCCTTGGGCCTGGAACACTTTCTTACCAAAAGAGTCCTCACAGCCTGTGCTCCTTTGTTCTGCATAAGCATCATATAGCCCCTGGCCAACCCCACTACTGTATCTGTCCCCTGTACATGGAGTTGGAGGAGGGTTCTTCTGCTGTAGCACTAGAGGGGTGAGTGCAGGCCAACAGCCCTACATGGCTGCCAAAAGGAACCTCCTCGCTATCAGGGAAATGACAGTACTACTAATCCTCACCTTGATGTTTCTTCTCCATGCAAGTAAAGTGCTCTCCCATCCAGTGCTTGACTGTGTTGTTTTCCATGGTGACTCCAGTACCAAGATGCAGTGGGCAGAAGTGTTTGGACTTCAACTTCTAGTGACAGGCAACAGATGCCACTCTGTAAATATCAAATAGATAAACGAATGAATGAATAGGAAGGTTCAGACTTCAAGTTAGGGGGTGTTAATTTTGAGATTACTGTTAGACCTGTAAGTGAAGATGTTGAGTGGTTAATTAGATGTAAGAGTTTGGAGGTCAGGGGATAAGTTTGCTGGGACTCTTTTGGAAGTCATTACCCATCACTTGAAAAAAATTATAAAATAATTTAGGAAGACTTGGCATTTATATAATGAGTGTTTTTACCCCACAACAGACATATGTAATATAGCTGTCAGAGGGGGAGGTTGGTTGGGGGGACCAGATGAAAGAAGCTGAAGAGATTAGCCAGATAACATAGATGTATAACCCATAGTTACAGACAACTGTGGTGATGGCCAGAGGGAAGGAGAGGTGGGGGCGAGTGGAGGTGGGCTGAGGTTTGGGGCATGGAGACATCTGTAATAGTGTCAACAATGAAAATAAAGTTTTTTTAAAAGTTCGTAACAGCATTGTTATTATTAGACCTAAACTGGAAAACAATATTAACAAAAGAATGAAAAAAAATTAATTGTGAGATAGTCATAAAATGGTATTTTACAGTAATGAAAATGAATGAACTCAGGCACTTGCAACAACATAGATGAAGCCAGACATAAAAGAATTCTTTCTGTATAATTCCATTCATATAAATAAAACTAAATTATAGTGTTGGAAGTCAGGATGGGACGTTGTTTTAGGAGGAGTAGGAGCAGGTAATGATTGAAGTACTTTCTGGAAGGCTAGTAATGTTCTGTTTCTTCACCTTGGTGATGGTTACGTGTTTGCTATATCATCATTCATTGAGCTATATGTTTAAGTTTTGGACACTTTTCAGGATATATGTTACAATTCTTAAACATCAACAACAACAACATGTTAAACTGTCATGTTAATATATTGCCTCCCGAAGAATTTGTTGATCGTGTTCTATCTAGTTCCTACCTATCTATCCTTATGGTTTTAAGTGTACAATGATCTATTTAAACTATAACTCAGTTTCTGATACTGGGAAAGAGGCAGAATAACAACCACAGTAGGAAATAGTGCAGAGCTTAGCATACCCAACATTGACATCTAGAATGTTATTTGGTTTTTAAGTTTGGAATTTACAGAGATTTAGAGAAAATTCAGTAGGAGATCTTGAGTATAAATACGATGTTAAAGCTCCAAACCCCACATATGAAACTATAAAATAAAACATTTGTCAATAGAATGCAGTAATCTTATAAAAATATACTTAAGTTGAGTTACATGTATGTTCATTATTTTGAGCTTTGAGCATTAGGGTGAGGAAATAATTTCTTCTTATTTATACAAGGATGTTACTAATGATATTAAAGCCACCTATGCAGTGTAGTCACTTAAGATCCAAATCCCTCTCTTACATATCTATCAGTTATGTACTCCCTGACATTTTGATTTAATTGCCTCAACCCCACTACAACTGTAAACCAAATCTAACAAGGTAAAATATAATGGGGATAAATGCAAAGTCTTACATTTAGGTTCAGATGAAGAAAGTGAAAGTATGATTTGCCAACATAAGTGATGAAGTTTCAGAAGGTTTGATTGACCTAAGATCACTCTTGAATAAGACTACCCCCTCAAAAGCTTAATGTGATTATAGGCCATGTTACTGCAACTAATGGGAGATAATTAGACCACACCAAGAGTATTATGGTCAGTTTAGGGCACCATATTTTAAGAGTGACATTGATAAATTAAATCTCATTTAAAGGAAAGCATCTGGTTTTGAGGAGTTATGAAGTATGGATTATGTGGCTGAAGATACGAGGACTCTGAAATCTTATAGCACCCCTGTAAGATATTGTCCCCATTTTACAGAAAGGAAATTGGGGCTCAAAGATAATTAATTACTTATTAAAATGTAACTGAAAAGTGATTGATCCAGGCCTCACATCTCTTGATTCTCAATCTAGTATTCTTTTTGTTTCAAAATATTGGTTTTAGTTAATTTTTAAGCCTGGATACTAGTCCCTATATGAGGATAAACTTGAAACTATAAGGTAATGATTACAAATTAAATGGGAGGAAAGGAAACATTCAGGGTAGGAAGATTAATGTGAGAAAATAGTTCGATTATCAGTATTTTAAGCTTATTAGTATTATAGAAATGTTTGTCTTATAGATATATATTTCTTTCTTTTTTAAGGTTTTTTACTCCAATGAAGAATCTGGGTATCTCGTTCTCACCATAGTTATATCAGGTCATTTCTTCATTTCCCAAGGACAAACACTTCTGGTAGGTTTTATGCATATAGTTTAATATGAAAATAATTTGTATTTTTATAGTTTTACATTAATTTTTATATTCTCAAGCTTCTGTAGGCTCACTGAAATCCATCAGGTTCAACAAATAGGCATTTATTGAATGTTCTATAACAGTGGTAAATAAAAAACATACAAATATTGCCTGCCATAACGGTTTTGCTGGCAGTCAAAGTGGATCAAAGGACTGAGATTAGTCAGTATTATAAAGGAATCTTAATTGGGGAGATTGAGTTGCAAACAGGCTAGATTTATAGAGAAATGTGTGTGGGGTTTTCCATGTAGGGTAAAGAGCATAAAGAGGGATAGATTCAAAGAAATGACTAAAAGAAAACTTGAAGCATGCTATTATTACTTGGTATAGACCTCTATAAAACTCTAATTTTATAAATATGCATTTTGTTTATAAATATGCACACATATTGTGGGAAACTTTTGGAATGAAGAAATATATAAAGGAGAAAACAAGAATCGTCTTGCTTGAAATTTTATACTTGAATTGGTATTTAGAAATAAAATGAATGAGGAAACAAAGCAATTATTAACTTCCAACCAAAGAAATTGTATAAGAAAGGAAATGTAAGGGATGATTCTTGCATCATTTGACTGTGGATAATATCTACATAGACATAAATTTGTACAAATATTTACTGAATATCTACACAGGCATAATTTATTCACTTAACACATTTATTTATTGAATGATTACAATGATGGGCATTGTTCTAGGTCAGTGATTTTAACCTTTTTCATCTCATAACACACACAAACTACTAAAATTTGGTGGCACACCAAAAAATGTATTTTTTGCCAATCTGACACACACACAAAAAGGCATAATTTTGATTCATTCAAAGCAGCCAGCTATTGTGTTAGCTGTTGCCGTTTTTTTTTTTTTGTTTTTTTGTTTTTTTGACAGTCTAAGGGAAAAGAGGTCAGTGCTCCTGACTAAATGGTCAAGTATTGCATGTTTTAAAAATTCTTGCAGCACACCTGTTGAAAATTGCTGTTCTAGGTGGTAGGGATATAGCAGTGAACAGCAAAGACAAAAATTCCTGTCATCGTGGAGTGTCATCATTCTAGTAGAGAGAAACAGCAATAAACAAATAGGTCAAATATATTTAAAAGATATGAATTTTTGGTGAATCCCTTACATATTTTATTATAAAATTATGGCAGCATCCCACAGTAGTACACTGTGATCATTCACCTCTCACTTAAGTGGAATATAGCTTTATTCTTGAATGTGAGATTACCTGCAAATCATCTTTGTGCTCCTTGTGACTTTAAAACTGCAGCAGTAGTTGTACTGTTTTGCTTTATCTGCTGCTATTAGAGCTTGTATCAGTTGCAAGAGATAAGATTTCTTTTTCAGTTTCCAATGAAAAGTATCCCAGATGGTGGAATGAGGGATGCGGAGCACAGAGCTAGTTCTCCCTGTCAACATTGTGGGTCTTTGTGGAATGGTGGTGACATTAATGCAGTTTGGCTTACTTAGACAATAGGAGGCTACCTTGTGCTTTGTCCCTTCTCCATCTGGTTGCACATTTTGTAAATGTTGTTACAAATTGGTAGATGTTTTTTTGTATCAGATGTGGAATTATTTTTGAACTGCAGTTACAAAGTCAAGTTTATTAAATTTTAAGACACTCACTACTGAGAAATGTTTAATGGTAACTCTATAATGTGAGGTAGGTTTCATACACAGATGTAACTTAGATACAGAGTAATATTTTTTTAAATCTTTAAATTCTTTTTAAACATCACCTTTACTAGGTGTAATTTACATAATCATTATTTTAGGTGTTCAATTTGATGTGTTTTGATAAATATGAATAGTTGTATAACTACCACCACAGTCATGATGTGAACATTTCAGTTAACCTAAAAAATTTTCTTGTGCCCCTTGGCAGTCAGTCTTTTCTGACCACCCTTATCACCTAGCAAGACTACTGATCTGGTTTCTGTCACTATAGTTGTGCCTTTTCTAGAATTTCATTTAAGTGAAATCATACAATATGTAGTGTTTTGTGTCTGGCTTCTTTCACTTAGAGTAGTACTTTTGAGATGTATCCATATTGTTTATTTCTTTTCATTACTGAACAATTTTTTATTGTATAAATAAACCTAATTTGCTTATCCATTCCATTTTTTAAAAATATGATTTTATTGATGTTTTTTTAGAGAGGAAGGGAGAGAGAGATAGAAACATCAGTGTGAGAGAGAGGCTGCTTCCTGCACACCCCGAATTGGGGATCGAGCCCTCAACCTAGGATATGTACTAACCAGGAATCGAAGCAGAACCTCTCAGTCCATAGGACGACGCTCAATCCACTGAGCCACACTAGCCAGGCTATCCATTTAATTTTTTTTTTAATTATTTATTTATTTATTTATTTATTTATTTATTTATTTTATGTTTTTTATCCTTACCCGAGGACATTTTTCCATTTTTTTTTGTACAGATAGAGTGGGAGGGAGAGAGAGGAAGAGAGAGAGAGGGAAACATCAATGTGAAAGGGACATAGCGAGTGGCTGCCACCCGCACGACCAACCAGGGCCAGGGACAAACTGCAACCGAGGTACGCGCCCTTAGTGGGAACCGAACCCGGGTCTCTCCGGACCGCAGGCGGACGCTCCAACCGCTGAGCCAAACCGGCCAGGGCATTAATTAATTTTTGTTAAAGATGTTTCTCCTTTTCCCCTCACTGATTCCTTCCTCCTTCTCCCTCCCTGCCCTGTCCTCAGCTTTGTTGTCCATGTCCATTGTTCATGCATACAGGCATGTAAGTTCTGTGGTTTATCTCTCCCACACCCCCTATTCTGGGTATTGTCAGTCTGTATCTCATTTCCACGTCTCTGGGACTACCCCATTCCTCAGACTGTTATGTTCATTATATTCCACAAATAAGTGGGATCATGTGGTATTTGTCTTTTTCTGCTTGGCTTGTTTTACTTAGGATAATACTTTCCAGGTCCCTCCATGTCGTCTCGAAGGATAAGAGATCTTTCTTTCTTATAGCTGCATAGTACTCCATTGTGTATATGTACCACAGTTTTTTTTATCCATTTGGCCACTAATGTTTGGGCTGTTACCAGATCTTAGCTATTGTAAGTAATGCTGCTATGAACATGGGGGTACATATATTCTTTCTGATTGGTGTTTCAGGTTTCTTAGGTATATTCCTAGAAGAGCGACCACTGGGTCAAATGGCAATTCAATTTTTAAGTTTTTGAGGTAACACTATATTGTTTTCCATAGTGGCTGCACCAGTCTGCATTCCCACCAGCAGTGTCCTAGAGTTCCCTTTTCTCCACACCCTCGCCAATACTTGTTGTTTGATGATTTGTTGATGGCAGCCATTCTGACAGGTGTGAGGTGATACCTCATTGCTATTTTAATTTGCATCTCTCTGATGATTAGTGATGTTGAGTATTTCTTCATATGTCTCTTAGCCATTTGTATGTCCCGTTTGGAGAGGTGTCTATTCAGTTCCTCTGCCCATTTTTTAATTGGGTTCTTTGTCTTCATTTTGTTGAGCTGTATGAGCACTCTCTATATATTGGAAATTAACCCCTTATCTGGTATATCATTGGTAATTATGCTCTCCCATACAGTGGGTTGCCTTTCCATTTTGATGATTGTATCTTTTGCTGTGCAGAAGCTTTTTAGTTTGATGTAGTCCCATGTGTTCATTTTCTCCTTTGTTTCTGTTGCCTTAGGTGATGTATCAGTGAAAATTCTGCTGCGTATGATGTCTGAAATGTTGTTGCCTACATTTTCTTCTAGGATTTTTATGGATTCATGAGTCACATTTAAGTCTTTTATCCATTTTGAGTTTATTCTTGTGTATGGTGTAAGTTGATGGTCTAGTTTCATTTTTTTTGCATGTAGCTGTCCAATTTTCCCAACACCATTTATTAAAGAGGCTATCTTGACTCCATTGTATGCTCTTGCCACCTTTGTCAAATATTAATTGAGCATATTATTTTGGGTCAATTTCTGGGTTCTCTGTTCTGTTCCACTGGTCTATCTGACTGTTCTCGTGCCAGTACCAGACTGTTTTGATTACAGTAGCTCTGTAGTATAACCTGATATCCGGTATTGTGATCCCACCTACTTTGTCCTTTTTTTTCAAGATTGCTATGGCTATTGGGGATCTTTTTTGGTTCTATGTTAACTTTTAAAGTATTTATTCTAGTTTTGTGAAATAGTCATTGGTATTTTGAGGGGATTGCATTGAATCTATAAATTGCTTTGGGCAGTATGGACATTTTAATGATGTTAATTCTTCCAATCCATGAACAAGGTATGTGCTCCCACTTTTTAATATCTTTCTCTATTTCTTTTTTCAGTGTTTTTTAGTTTTCTGCAAATAGGTCCTTTATTTCTTCAGTTAAATTTATTCCTAGGTATCATAATATTTTTTTGCTACAATGGTAAATGTATTGTTTTTCTAGTTTTTCTTTTTGTGAGTTCATTATTGGTGTATAATAATGCCATCAATTGCTCTGGCCAGTTTGGCTTAGCAGTTGGAGCATCGGCCTATGGACCAGAGAGTCCTGGGTTCAGTTCCCGCTAGGGTCACATACTTCCCCCCCCCAAAAAGTGCCATTGATTACTTAATGTCAATTTTGTATCCTGCTACCTTGCTGAATTTCTTTATTAAATCTAGCAGATTTTGATGAAGTCTTTAGAGTTTTCTATGTATAATATGTTACCTGCGAATAATGATACTTTTCACTTCCTCCTTTCCAATTTGGATCCCATTTATTTTTTCTTCATGTTCGATTGCTATGGCTAAGACTTTTAGTACTATGTTAAATGAAGGTAGCTAAAGTGGGCATCCCTGTCTTGTACCTGTACTTAAGGGAAATGCTTTTAGTTTTTGCTTATTGAGTATGTCAGCTATAGGTTTTTCATATATGGCCTTTATTATGTCGATATGATTTCTCTATTCCCACATTGCTGAG